CAGAGGAAAATCCCTCCATCCCAGCCCAGGGCCACTGACCCCAACCCCATCCCTTGAGGTGGGGGGGGGTGTGTATGGGAGGGAGGGGGGTTATTCTGCCCAACCCTGTGTCCCACCACCTTCCTAACCCACAATCTGCACCGAATTCCAAGCCTGCTGTTAACTTCCCTTGCACTCTCTTCTGCTGTTTGCTGTTATTTTTTAACACCTCTTTTTATTTTTTCTTTTACCCCCCACCCCCCCCTCCCCAACCCCTCCTTTCCTCTTTATTATTCTTTTTCACTTCCTAAAAGCACTCTCCCCTCCCCAGAGCCTGCCTGCAGGGAAGGCATGGTCTGTACAACTGCAATTATTTCCAAGAACAGATGGAGTGAGGAGCAGAAAGTCTGTTAATAGTAATAGAAATGCTACATGTTAACCTGGACAGCACATGATGACAGTCCCATGACTACACGTTCTGTTCCCACCAGCTGGGCTCCCTGCTCTTGAGAGGAGAGAGAGTCAGGAACGTGGAGCTCAGCTCCTGCACCCTCCCCAAAGTTAGAGCTCAAATTCCTTCACACTTCCAGCTCAGGGTGTGTTTTGTTGGGTGGTTTGGGTTGATTTTTTTTTTTAATCTAAGGGGGGGTTTGTTGGGTTTCTTTCTCCATCCCCTCCTCCTGCTTGGTTGCAGGGAAAGGGATAATGTTGATTATTTTTGGATTTCCCCACCCCTGGGATGTTCAGGGCTGGTTGCAGCTGCCAGGGGGGATGGGGAGGAGGTGGCAGCTCTGCTCTCAGGTCCTGATCTTCAGCCTCATGTGGTGGCATCATTCCAGCCCCTTTTCTTGGGGCTGTTTAGCTGAGAGAAGAGGAGCCTGAGGGGGGATCTCCTCAGTGCTGATCAATATCTCCAGGGGGTGGCAGGAGGGGGGACCAGACTCTGCTCAGGGGTGTCCAGGGCCAGGACAAGGGGCCTTGGGCACAAACTGGAGCCCAGGAGGTTTGACCTGAAGAGGAGAAAATCCTTCTTGCCTGTGAGGGTGGCAGAGCCCTGGGCCAGGCTGCCCAGGGAGGCTGTGGAGTCTCCATCCCTGGAGACCTTCCAGCCCCTCCTGGATGTGTTCCTGTGGGACCTGCTCTAGGGGATCCTGCTCTAATAGATGACTGGACTAGATGATCTCCAGAGGTCCCTTCCAACCCCAACCACTCTGTGATTCCATCCACACATCTGTGCCCTTCACAAACCCCTGGGATTAATGCACCAGAGCAGCAGCAACTTGTGCTCCCGGGCAGGGCTGTTCCATCAGCCTGGGATTTGCTCTGCAACTGCTGCAAGCTGGTTGCTAAATGGGTTGAAATCCCCATTTTTCTGGCGAAACCAGTTGCATTGCTCCAGTGGGTTGCAAAGGGAAGGGGCTACAGGGGATTTCTGGGCATGGCAACACCCTGGGGACTCTCTTACCCCATTGAACCCATCCAGAAATTGAGAAACAAAGCAAAAAAAACCCCACGTGCTTCCAACCCCAACTGATCTCGCTGTGAAAAATCCCTGCTTGGTTTCACAAGAGACTGACTGGGAGGGATTTAGCCCCAGAGCTCCAGCTAATTTTGGTGGGAATTGCTTGGTTAAATCCCTGGGTGGTTTACGAAAGCGCGGGGCAGGTTGGAGCTGTGAGTGGCACCTCTGGCGAGTTGACAGATGCACCTGGAGGTCTTACTAGGCTAGAGATCCCTTAATCGGGGTGCGTGCAGGGTAAGCTGGGCCCTGAGGTCCTGCCAAATCCCCTGAGATCCTCAGGTTTTCTATCTACAACCTCCAGAGGTCACTTCAATCCCAGCTCCATCCTCGGGGGAACCGAAATATCCATCTGGTCTCACAGCGCCCGTGGGTGCTGGGGACCCTTGGTGGGGGTGCTGGGGGGCTGAGCTCTTCATCCATCAATCCCTGCTCCCTTTTCCCTGCTTGTCACCATCCAGGAAAGGTTGCCCAGCCCTTTTGGGTGCTGCTTCCTTGCAGCACCTTTGGGTTAGGTTGGGGTTTGTTGGGCAGAGCTCGGTGGCTCCTCAGCCGTCGAGCCAGGGCTGGAACTGGATTTCAAGCCCCCAAAATCTCCCTCTCCCAGGGTTTGAAACCTTCTGCAGAAGGTGCCCTGCCCCGTGGCGGGTTGCTCTGCTGCTGCAGGGGGTGGTGAGAGGGAGGTTGGCAGGGAAGGGCACTCAGTTGGGTGCTTTTGGTTTGGGAAAAGCAGAAAACCCTGGTTCTTCCTCTCCTGGAAACAAATCAGACCGCGAGGAGCGACCGGTCCTCGTGTCGCCCTGCTCAGCTCCTCTGTGCATTTTCCAGGGGTGTAACTGTCAGAATCTGTCTGCCTGGGGAAAGAAAAGTATCTTTTGGGGCTGGTCAAACTCCTGGCAAGATGTTTCTTGGCTCCCACACCAAAGATCCAACCCCTCTGTCCCACCCTCGGTGCCCACAGCGCTCTCCCCTCCTCTCTTGCAGAGCAAGAAGTACGTGCTGGTGCTGGTGGATCCCGATGCTCCCAACAGAGCCAATCCCAGGAAACGTTTCTGGAGGCACTGGCTGGTCACTGAAATCCCAGTGAGTCCCTGGGGGTTCCCTGTGTCAGGGTCTGAGGAGGAATTCCTGCCCCACAGGGCAGAGTTCCCAGGGGATGCGCAGCACTCGGCACGGCCGTGAAATCCCTGAGGATGAGGGTTTGTGGGAGAAATGGAACTGGTGTAGGTAGGGAAGAACTTCCTCGGGCTATATAGAGCCAAGCTGGTCCAAAAATACTGCTGAGTTGTGGTTTTCCCCCCCTTTTTCCTAAGGAATTGCTGAAAAAAACTCTCCCTGCCTTGAAAACGTCTCCTCCGGTTTCTCCTCAGAACCAACGTGTTGGTTCAAACGTCTCTTACTGCTCCTGGTTCTTTTTTGGGTCAAAAGAAGTGGGTTTTGGGGGAAATCTCCTCAGTGCCAAGCGGTTGGTACAGTTTGTGGTGAGGAAAAAAAAATGTTTCCAGGCCAGGGAATGAAACTGGGAGGTGGGTTTGGGCTGAATTCCTGTTGTCGTGGACAGACGAGCCCTGATCTCCACATCCATCCTAAAATATCCTGCCCAATCCCCCCCAAAAAAAGGCTTTGGAAAATCAATTTCTTCCTATTCCTGCTTGCTTTTATCTTTAAAAAAAGAAGGTGTTTCAGCCCTGAATCAATCTGACTTCACAATCTTAGCACTGAAGTCTAATTAAGATATCAATTAATTTGCAACGTGCATTTTACAAGAAATATCTCATCATTCTCCTCTATTATTCTCTCAAATGACTGCTAAGGGCTTGTGGTTCTTTTTTTTTTGTGCAGATACCTTAATTAGGCTTTTTTATTGTTAATGGGAATATTGAGCAAATTAAAATGGGATCTTAGTCCTTTCCATGGATTCCATAATTGGCTGAAAAATAGAAAGCAGTTTTGAATAATTGCAGAGATTTGGGTCCAGGGCTCTTGGGGTTTGTTTTTTTTGTTGTTGTTGTTGTTTAATCCTTCTGAATTTCTAACAACAGGGTCCTGAAAGTCTCTCATTAATTTTAATATTTACTTAATGCAAAGAAGCCCAAGCTCTTGTTTTCCCTTCTGTACACAGATCCTCACTAATTATTGTGTGGTTTGTTTTTTTTTTTAACTATTCCTCCTTTTTTTTTCCCTTGATTTTTGAAAGAGCTTTTCAATCCAGGAGGGAGATGTGGGATTAAAACCAGGTCTCTGGGGCAAATTCCTTTCCCTGCCATTCAATTTGCAGTGTGAAAGGTCAGAAAGCTCCTTGCAGGGTGGGGGGAAAAATGGGAATTTTGGGGAAGCAGAAAGGCTTTCCCATCTCCAGGTGTTGTGTCTCTGTCAGGGATGGGACTGATTCCAGTCCCACCTTGTTCTTAAGCTTTTTATCATGAGATAAATCTATATATTTATGAGCAGGGAGTTGGGCTGGGTTATTTTATGGCTCCTTCCCAACTTGATGATGTTTTAGACATCGAATACATAGAATAAGATGATGTATAAAAATGTATCAAATATTGTGGCATATATCTCCTCTATATCATCTCTATCTATATTTTGTGTGTTTATCTCCCTGAATCTCACATTTATTCACCTAGAAACCTCCCCAGCACCATCAGATCCCACCAAACTCATCCTCATCCTCCCAGGACAAAATCCTCTTGTCCCAGCCCTGGCATCTCTTCCCAGCACTGGAAGTGCAAGCAAGGGGGTCCCAGCATCCCCTTCCCTTCCCTAAACCCCCAGCCCCAAATCCCTGTGACTCCCCAGGCTCCCAGGACATGGAATTGGGGTGGGATGCAGGTCTTGTTGGGGGTACAAGGGAGTCTTGGCTCCGAGGAGCTTCAGCTGCCAGGCTGATTTGCACACTGGCTCGAAAAGAACCGTGTGGGTTTGCCATGACACCTTCTGTTGCTTCCCTGCAAAGAGGGGCTTGCAAGTCCCTTTTTCCAGGAGGGATGGGATGGTTGAAGGGGCTACAAAGCCCTCAGGCCCTGGCATCACCCCAGCAGCACCCCAGCAGCACCTCCCAAGCTTTTCCACCCCCCAGCTCCGCAGCCGCTTAAACGTCGCCGTGGGTGCTACAGCGCCTTGGCGAGCCACCAAAGTTGGGACAGGGCTGGGAATTTGCTTTTCCCAGGTGGGCTCAGGGCTGGAGCATCCCATCCCAGTCCTGCTGCTCCATCCCATCCCAGCAGCACCATCCCACCCCACCCCAGCAGCCCCGTTCCACCCCCTCTTGCTCCGCCGCTCCTCCCGATTCCCCACCACCACAAGAGATGCCTTCGCTCCCATTCAACATCATTTAAATAAACAGGTTGCTACAAAGTGGAATAATATCTTTTGATGAATGTTTTTCAAGCCCTTTAGGTTTTCATGGTAATTTGCAGTGTAAAATTATTTAGAGATAAGAGCCAAATTAGCTCTTATAGGCGGAGGTCGATATGTCCCGTTATCCGTGCAAGCAGTGTTTAAATATAATCAGCCTTTACTCTAATGCAGCATAATTGTTCATTTGAAATAGCTTTTTTTTATTTATTTTTTATTCTTTCCCCCCCCCTCCCCCCCCTCCTTACTCCATTCAATGAGTCATTAAAATATTCAAAGGATAATGCAGTGAATTGGAAATGAATTTGTCACATTATCCTGGAGAGGCTGCGGAGCATCAGGTAACCAGAGTCAGAAGAGGGTTGTTTTAAGAAACCCAGTAAACAATTTTGGGTTCAGAGATTGGGGGGGGGAAAGAAGGGAGAAAATCCTGCCCTGCTTTCCATCTTGAGTCCCCTTCCTTGGGGAGGAGGAAGGGGGAGGGTGAGAGCAGGGGATTTGTGCTCCGCTCGTTGCCTTTAACTTTATTTTTATCAGGAGATGTTTGTAACAGAAAGTCGTTATGGAAACCAGTTCTGCTGGGTGGGAGAAATCCTGCTCCAGGCTGGGATGGAGCAGGGCCCACCAGGAGATGGGGCTGCCTGACATTGCTTGGCTTCCTCCTGCCTTTGGTGGAGGGGTTGGGGAAACTGAGGCACGGAGCAGAGAGCGGTTTGGTGGGATAAGGCAGGTGGATTCAAGGGGTTTGGACAGGAGATGTTCCCATTCCCTGGTTTTGTTCTCCCCAGGGTGGGTGTGGGTGCTCCCGTGGGAGCCCACGGGTGGGTTTGGGTGCTGGGGGACCCCCTGCTTGGTCCCAGAGGTCCCCCAGCCCCACTCCTGGTCCCCTCCTGCCGTGGTGGCTGTGAGAGCCTTTCTCTGGCTGCCAAACAGGCTCCAGGTTGCAAGTGTCACCATAGAAACAGGTGCCATCTGAAGCAAACAAGGGTTTATTCACCTCCAAACTTAGGGTTTTTTGCTTGATTAGAGGCTGGGCAGGGAGCTGGGGGGG